AGGTTTAAAATTCGATTATGCGTAATAATCGGTTATCCCATAAGATCTCATTACTGTCGTATTTAGATTAAACGCTTGTATATATACCTAAAATTTTGTAACATATTCTAGTGCGAAATTGTCTGGCGAATCTATTGGCGTTTGAATTCTTCGTTTCTGACTGTAACTTTTCGAGTTATCGCAATCTTAATGTTTAAAATTCGATTATGCGTAATAATCGATTTTCCCATAAGATATCATTATTGTCGTATTTAGATTTAACGCTTATATATATACCAAAAATTTTGTAACATATTCTAGTTCGAAATTGTATGACGAATCTAATGGCGTTTGAATTTTTCGTTTCTGACTGTAATATTTCGAGTTATCGCAATCTTAAAGTTTAAAATTCGATTTTGCGTAAGTATCGGTTTTTCCATAAGATTTCATTACTGTCGTATGTAGATTGAACTGATAAATAAAAAGTTTATTAAAAAAAAATAAATAAATAAACGGCCATATTACGCTTAAAGTACCGGTTTTCGTCCGAAGTGAAGTGGCGTCGGGCCCTGATAGTACTTCGGACGGAGACGACTTGTGAACACCGAGTGCTGTTACACTTATATTTTTCTTTGTTTTTTGTTTTATCTAATGCCGAAGTGAGCGTTCTGTTATCTTATTTTTTTTTTCAATTGTCTCGACCAGGCGCGGTTTAATTTTAAACAACTGCCAGTCGTTGTAGAATGCCGAAGCGTCGCATTGTAGTTTCGTTAGCGCGACACACAACGCTTTGCAAGAGCGAAACTAAATTAGTCGGACTGGCTGTCTCGCGCTGTATTACGTACATCATCGTGTGTTAAACGATTCGGCTTACCGCATTACCTACCGGTTTCATTGCAATTGCTTTGCTTTCGAACAGAAAAACAGTGCGTGGTTCGAAACCCTTCGGAATTACCAGTTACACCGGAAGTGGCATCGTACTATACGTTTCAAACGGCGTGTTTTTATTCTTTAGTGAAAGACGACATTTCCGGAAAGCATGTTCGATTTTTCCAGAGCCTCGTGTTAATTCCCCGTCGTCGAAAAATAAAAAAAAAAAAACTTTATGCGACATTCAATAAGAAAATACTACAGAAGAGACGAGCCAGCCAGGATTCGAACCTGGAATCTTCTGATCCGTACTCAGACGCGTTATCCGTTGCGCCACTGGCTTTCGCTATATTTCTTACACGCCTTATTTAAGCGTCATTCGTTTTTCCGAAGTGATCGAAACGACTGACCCGTTTAAGTATGGCGTCGTACAGCAAATTTTGCATTTTTACTTATGGCAGGAGCAAATCACGTGACCTACACTATATTGGGTTCAATTCCTTATTTGCAGACTAACAGAAACTCGTTTAATAATCGTTGTACACACACGTCAGCTGATCGAATTGGAAAAAGAAATAAATAACCTTATTTTTTCCAATTAACACGTAACAAAGAAAGTCGACAATTGCAATTTCATTGTTGTGCTCTTTTTGTTGCGAAGAGTGCGATTCTNGGCCCTCGCTACCTTTCTTACACGCTTAATTTAAGCGTCATTCGCCTTTCCGAAGTGATCGAAACGACTGACCCGTTCAAGTATGGCGTCGTACAGCAAATTCGGAATTTTTACTTATGGCACGAGCAAATCACGTGACCTGCACTCTCCCGGGTTCAATTCCTTATTTGCAGACTAACAGGGGCTCGTTTAATAATCGTTGTACACACACGTCGGTTGATCTGATTGGAAAAAAATATATATAATAAATAATTTAATTATTGTGATTAACACGTAACAAAGTAATAAAGAATGTCGACAATTGCAATTTTATTGTTGTGCTCTTTTTGTTGCGAAGAGTGCGATTTTTGCAAAGTTATTAAAGTGCAAACCAAATCAATGTATTTCGAAAAATTAAACGAATGTACGATACATTTTTATATCACTAGTGATTTGTTACAATATTGCACTAGAAAGTATTAAAATATTCTATTAAGATGTTTAAATTTTTTATTCAGATGCAATCTTATGCGAAAAACTTCAAAAAACAAAATGGCGCTCTCACATTAATTAATAAATTTCGAAAACCTTAATTTATAAATAAAATTTATTCATGATTTTTGTTTCGAGCCACTATACTTTACTAAAATGTTTCAAATTATTGTGGATAAATATTTAAATATTTTGTTTAGACGCGATCATACGTTAAAATCGAAAAAAACGAAAAATGTAAAAAGGAATTACTGACGATAACAGTTAATGTATTTCGTAAAATGAGATATATCTATGACAGATTTTTATATTATTTCTGTAGTTTTTTGAGACAATACTGCACTAGAAAGTACTAAAATATTTTATATAAATGTTAAATTTTATCGACTAGACGCGATTTAATGCGAAAAACTCTAAAAACAAAATGGCGACTTTTTGATTACATTATCAATTATATTTCGAAAAATTGTTATATTTCGAAAAATTGAATTTATAAACGAAAGTTTATATGTTTCTTTTTCAGACACTATACTTTACTAAAAAGTACCAAACTATAGCGGATAAATAGTTAAATATTTTTTTCAGACGCGATCATTCGTTAAAATCGAAAAAAACGAAGAACGAAATAACTACTTACTGACTTTGTCAATCAATGTATTTTTCCATAAATTGGATTTAGTTACGAAAGGTTTTTAATGTCACTTGTCAATTGTCACAATACCTTACTAGAAAGTAAAAAAACATTTTAGATAAATATTTAAATTATTTTTACAGACGCTATCGTATGCCAAAAACGATAAAAATGGGATATCGACTACCTTAGTATATGAACCCTATATTTTTTAAAATTGAATTTATGAACAAAAGTTTTTCATTTTATTAGTTTCGTGACACTATATTTCACTAAAATGTTTTAAAGCATTCAGGATACAAATTTAAACGGTTTTACAGACGCTATCGTATGCCAAAAACGATAAAAATGGGATATCGACTACCTTAGTATATGAACCCTATATTTTTTAAAATTGAATTTATGAACAAAAGTTTTTCATTTTATTAGTTTCGTGACACTATATTTCACTAAAATGTTTTAAAGCATTCAGGATACAAATTTAAACGGTTTGTTTAGACGCGATCATATGTCAAGAATAAAAAAATGGAGAACGAAATTTCTATTTTTCGTTATAAAAATTAATGTATTTTGAAAAATTGATTTTAAGTACAGAAGTTTTTTATGTCAGAAGTTTAAGTCGCGATCGTCTTTCATTGTGTTCGTTCCAGGAAGGTTTGAGTACCAGTGTCTTTCGTCCTGATTTTTATTGAGGCGAAACTGGTAGAAGACATAAGACTGTTTCAGCTTCTATAGTCCAGAATGATCGTCGCATATCATCATCTGACATCATATTAAGAATTTGTTTAGGTAAGAACTATTTACCTTTATGTTATAATAGTAAACTATTAATAGAAAGAAACCTTAATATTAATTGTACATAAAATAGTATTAATATTCCAACACTAACGAATAAGATACAAAGACGATAAGGACAGAATAATTATAAGGAACATAAGGAAAAAGAAGAACTCTACCACATGTCCATCGTAATCCTTTGTGACATCTCAAGAACTCTACTGTGACTAAGTATGTAAGAGAAAAAATCCTGTATATTGTTAATACCTACATGTTGAGTACACTAATGGTGTTGTTTTTTATAGTCTTCAAAGTATAGTAGAGTTTAAATAAGACAGTCTATGTCTGAAGCGTGAAGAAGTGAGATTAAATATTCAACCTGGTATCTGAAATAATCAAGTATATAGAGTATGATTCCCGTTGGAAAAAATGCATACAGAGAAGGAATTTTTTAAAAAATGTTGACTGAGGAGGGGCAAAAACGGAGCCCGAAACGTGTATAGAAACGCGTCTCAACAAAAGCTGGAATAAATGAATGAGTCATGCCATGTGTTGATTACTGTGCTACATTGCAGTTTTTTAAACACACAAATCATATTAAGAGATATTTCTGAGTGCAATAGCCTTTGTAAACTTTTTCACTGTAGAGGTTACGATCGCGACGTAGTTACTAGCTAGATCGCCGTTATAGACAGATTTATGTTTTATTTGCATCTAAGCAATAATCAGTAACTTCTTCATGTATTCTCATGTAAATTAGCTATAGATATATAATAAACCTTTATTTTGTTATTTGTTCAACCTGTCTCCTGTCTATCCCAGGAAACCTGTCGACTTACCGAAGCACTCCCCACTTGTTTTGCCCTCTTTGCCATCAGAACAACTCCGAGATCGGGTTTTACCAGTTCGTGCAGATTAAGTGGTTAGGATGAAATTAACCCCTAAACACCTGGTTATCTCACATATAATGTACACATACAACAATTTATCATTTATACATATAAGAAAGACATTGGCCGTACACGAGGTGTTTAGCCAGTGGAAAAGAGAGTAAAGAAAAGGGGGGAAGGAGGGCGAGGAGATACACAATAGAGAAAGATAGGATCCCTCTGAACGGCATACGTATGGCTACAGTATCCTCTATGTTTGATGTAGGCGTGCAGTTTTTAGGCAGCAAGACCGAAGTTTCCGAAGTGTTTAAAAAGAAACCTGAGTGTAGCGAACACCAATAATTGAATGCCGCCACTAATAGCTGAGTGTACTGTACAAGTTAGTGCCAAGTGCCTGTTAGTAGGAAGACTTATATCTACTTAATATTAATAAAATTGAACAGAATTGCGAATTTTAATACTAGTTAACAGCTAGACAGACAGCGCGAAAAGCAAACGAACACAATGACAAACTAAATGAGATGAAGGGACTGACAGGAACAAACAAGCAAGATCCCAAAATTTATTTATATATTTTATTATTTTTTTATTTAGTTAGTTATTTATTTATTTTTTAAACTGAAAAAACTAAAGTGTAAACTAAGTAAAAACTTTTTTAAACTGAAAAACTAAGTGAAATGGTGTTTGGTCCTCCTGAATACTACAATCGCATTGTGGATTGTCCCCAAGGTTAAATTTAGGTAAGTATTGATTAATTAAAGTTGTCGTGTCCTGTAAGTAGTTGAGTGAGGGTGTGACTAGGGTAAAAGTGGCGAAGAATCGCAGTAGTGTCAACCTTGAGTATGAAAGTGTAGGTGAGACTACCAGTAGTGTCGCAATCCCAGCTGGCTTGCCAGACAATGAAGATTTGCTTCTTGACATGATTGTTGATGTACGATGTAGGAATGTAACTGAAAATACTAGTGACTAAAGATTTTGCAGCTTGTTTTGTAAGACGATTAGCGGTCTCGTTGCGAAAAACCCTCGCATGACACGGGATCCATTGGAAATCTTTTCTAATGTTGTCTAAGTGTCTGAGAATTTGGAATATGGTTTAAGAGATGGACGAGTTTTAAGCAGTTATCAGACTTCGCGATCCTGTGTAAAGCTACGTAGTGTAAGAATAAATGCGATAGTGTAAGTAGTCTTTTGTCCTTACTACGCCTAATGTGAATTAAGCTCATATAAATAGCTAAAGTTTCCGCACGTGCTATTCAGCAGTGTGTACCTAAACGGAAGCAAGCATTGTAAACCTTGCACCACATCGTCACCCACTTTGGGATCCCGTCTTTTTTGCATACAGCTGACTCATTAAATGAATCGGTTGAAATTATTTGGGTAGTTTAAAAGTCGATATAAAAATTGCAGAGGCCAAAGCTATGACAACGCATCAAATTTAGCTGTAAATAGACTTCAAGCAAAAATAAAAAGTTACAGTGAGTGCTGCATGGAACATAATGAGCGCTTTGCTCATTACGTTCCATGCAAGTAGTCACTCCGTAAATCTTATAGGTAGTTTTGATGCAGATTGTTGCCCATTGGCAGTTACAGTACTATTCAAAATATTTACACTTTTTTGCTGCGTTGACATACGAATGGAATTTAGTAAAAAATCTTTTCCAAGAGAACAATGAACCGTTTACTATTAAACCTATTGGTGACACTAGATGGTCAGCAAGAGCGGTCGCTATAACAGCCATTATCAATGGATTCAATGAAATTAAATCAGCACTTCAAAAATTAGAAGAAGACGTATCTAAAAAAGATATTAACCCAAATAGAAGCAAGAGGTTTAAATGGTAATATAAAAAGTTTTGAATTTTACTTAATGGCTCTGTTGTGGAACAAAATATTAAACAGGATTAATGCCACAAGCAAGAAATAAATGCAAGAAATAACTGGTAATTTAAATGTAGCTTCGTTTTATATAAACGTCTTATAGAATTTGTGCAGGAAATAAGAAACGATTTTGATTTTATTGAAGAACAAGCTAAAGAATTATGTAGCAATTTTACAGATGCAATTGATTCGACTGATTTTCTGAGAAGCCGTAAACGAAAGCGTCAGTTTGACAATTGAGACGATGATATTTAATTTTCTGCCAAGGATAATTTCAAAATAAATACATTTTATGTAATATGATTCTTAGTCAACAAGTTGATTAGAAGAAAAACTGCATATTCATCTATTAACAATTTTTTAAATTTTTATTTACTGAAACAGATGCACACAGTGCAGATTATTTTGAGATAATAAATAACATATTTACATTCATGAGATTCGTGACGAATAGCTTCAGTTTAATGCTATTTTAAAAGATAATTATATAGAAAAGAATTCCACAAATGTTATACTTTATTACAAATAATAATATAATATCAACCTTTTCCAATATGCGAATTCTTCTAAGAACATATCTTACGATGCCAATAAGTATTGCTGCTGGTGAAAGATCTTTTTCTACATTGAAGACTTAAAAATTATTTGAGAAATTCAATAAAAGAAGATAAATTATCTGCACTATCGATACTAAATACCGAATCCGAGTTAGCACAAAAATTAGATTACAATTTTTTATTAATATTTTTGCAAACTTGAAAATCATAAAAAGAATTTTATGGTTTATTTTTTACTTTTTTATGCATGAATCGTTATTTTTTTATTTCAAGACAATTACAAACATAAAATAATCAATACATTAATGCAAAATTACTTTAATTTTAAATATTACAATTGTATTTATATTTGTAAAGGGGGCCGTAATTACTTTTCCGAGGACTCGCAAAGGTCTAAATAAGGCCCTGTAAATATTTTTGAAAATTTTCCAATTTTTGTGGGGGCCAAGAGGTGGGGAGAAATTTAAAACAAAACGCAATTAACGATAATGTGAGATATATATCATCATCGTCTTCATTGACTTCTAGACTGCCGAGCGGTAACAATAAACGACATGTGAGAGCAGTTGAGTCAGAGATAGATGCTTCGTTTACAAACAATACACCCGTTTATTAAACACGAAAGAAGCTTACCAGATTTCCCGCGATCTTGGAAGTTCTACGTCGGCGGCGGCCTCTGGGTCCTCCTTCCTTTCCAAGATAGTTTCATTTTGAAGGTGTGTCCCTGGTTCGCAATTCCATCCACGTCTCGACGACTCCGAAACGATGTGGTCGATTTCCGTTGATGAAAAGATGTCGATCCGAGGTCGGGAGGTGGAGACGAAGATTGGCGCGAGACACATACACAACAATAGATCCGCCACTTGGAAATTTCAAGAGAAGAAGCCGTCGCGTTCTTGAATTTTCAGGTTATATCCGTTTTTCTCCGATTCCACTTTCTGATTGGCCTCTCCTCGTCACCTGGTGACAATTCGAAACCTTTTGGAGGCGGGAGAGGTCAAAATCGAAGATTAATTCGATTTCCAACCGGAGATGGCCGCTGGACTTACATTCTTCTATTGTTTAAAAGTTAGCGTCGCGTTTNTTTGATTTTATTGAAGAACAAGCTAAAGAATTATGTAGCAATTTTACAGATGCAATTGATTCGACTGATTTTCTGAGAAGCCGTAAACGAAAGCGCCAGTTTGACAATTGTGACGATGATATTTAATTTTCTGCCAAGGATAATTTCAAAATAAATACATTTTATGTAATATGATTCTTAGTCAACAAGTTGATTAGAAGAAAAACTGCATATGCATCTAATAACATTTTTTATATTTTTATTTACTGAAACAGATGTACACAGTGCAGATTATTTTGAGATAATAAATAACATATTTACATTCATGAGATTCGTGACGAGTAGCTTCAGTTTAATGCTATTTTAAAAGATAATTATATAGAAAAGAATTCCACAAATGTTATACTTTATTACAAATAATAATATAATATCAACCTTTTCCAATATGCGAATTCTTCTAAGAACATATCTTACGATGCCAATAAGTATTGCTGCTGGTGAAAGATCTTTTTCTACATTGAAGACTTAAAAATTATTTGAGAAATTCAATAAAAGAAGATAAATTATCTGCACTATCGATACTAAATACCGAATCCGAGTTAGCACAAAAATTAGATTACAATTTTTTATTAATATTTTTGCAAACTTGAAAATCATAAAAAGAATTTTATGGTTTATTTTTTACTTTTTTATGCATGAATCGTTATTTTTTTATTTCAAGACAATTACAAACATAAAATAATCAATACATTAATGCAAAATTACTTTAATTTTAAATATTACAATTGTATTTATATTTGTAAAGGGGGCCGTAATTACTTTTCCGAGGACTCGCAAAGGTCTAAATAAGGCCCTGTAAATATTTTTGAAAATTTTCCAATTTTTGTGGGGGCCAAGAGGTGGGGAGAAATTTAAAACAAAACGCAATTAACGATAATGTGAGATATATATCATCATCGTCTTCATTGACTTCTAGACTGCCGAGCGGTAACAATAAACGACATGTGAGAGCAGTTGAGTCAGAGATAGATGCTTCGTTTACAAACAATACACCCGTTTATTAAACACGAAAGAAGCTT